GCACCCTAGGTGCACCCAGTGTGCGGATTTAGATATCCGCACGCAGGGGGCGCCTTGGCTATTAGATATATAGATGAAGTGGCAATAAGAAAAATGCCTCCCACTTCTGAAACACCCAGCATGTAATCTCACACTTCCAGAAAAAAGGAGCGTCAGATCAAGAAGCTGACTTGCAAGCGGGCTTGAGCCAGGCCCGGTCCTTCGTTAGAAGTTAGACGCTGCCCCCAATACAGAATCGGACCACCACCCCAGGAGTGCTGGAAGAGCTTTACAACTGGCCACTTGGCCCAAGACAAGTCACCGTGCCCTTCAAGCTGTTTGCTGGTCACACAACTCAGTTCATCGCCTGCCCAAGGTACAGGCAAGTAGGCCTGCACTTTTTCCTGCTCTGTGCTATAGGAGTGAAGCGACCAGAAGATTTCAAAAAGGCCGGGGAAAAAATCAAGAATGCTACCGAAGCAATGTACAGATCGATATCTACAAAGCACCATATTTGAAGTAGTTAGACATTAACAGGAGAAAAATGGAGCCACTGGCTGGGGTAGAGACTTTCCACACACCAGGAAGAGAGTTGTCAAAGTGCACTAAGAAACTACACTATCGTGATCATAAATTATATGGCCTTCTTCCTGCGAAAGATTGAAGGTCAAAGAAGACGGGGACGGCAAAGGATGACATGGCTAGACAGTGTCATCGATGCAACGAACATGAAGTTGAGCCAACTTCAGAGGACGGCGGAAGACAGTAAGGCCTGGCGTGATCTGGTCCATGGGGTCGCGAAGAGTCGGACTCGACTGTGCGACTGAACAACAACAAAAAGGAAAGCACATGGCTGCAATGCTGTGCCAAGTGGAGAGAGAGTGAAAATGCAATATTCCAGTTTTTAAAATTTCAGAGAGTGAGTAAATATTTTTTTTTATATCCTTGTTAGCATTTTTCTCTTGGAGATAAAAGGCTCCTTATAGTTGGTACTGGCAACAAGAGTGATTTGGGCATTGCCCCAACGTCAGCCGCTTCGATGTGAAATGCCATTTGCTCCCATCACTCCCGCAGCTACTGGAATGCTTGGTCTGGAGGAAAGCTTAGATAAGCTTTGCGAGTTTCAGATATTTCTAAAGTTTCAAGATCTGACTTGTGTTGGTTATCAGCTGTGGCTCAGCTTGTAGAAACATTTGTTCTTGTTGCCCTGTGCCAACTCTGCTCTTGTCTATTGGGCTGGGTCCTACCACTTGGGTCAACTATGTGTGGCCCTTTCCCCTGGTGAAGGAGGCGCCAGAGAATGATTCTGTGCCTAACTGAGCAGAATGGGAGGCTCCAAGTCATTTTTAATACGGCATGAAAAATGATACCCAAAGGCTGACCCGCCCCCCCTTTTCGGTCACAAATTCCTTATCCTGCAAAGTGCATCTAGGGAGCAAATAACTGGATCATTTTATTTTTTACAAAAGGCTTTACTGTTAACTTGGGAAAGGCTGACATTGATAGGGGATACTGTCTGTTTTAAATAATAAGTAATCTACTGATGGATTATGAGGAACCTTCTAAACTAGAAATGCTAGTTGTTTGTGACTACTAACTGAGATGGATAAGGAAAAACCTGATCAAGACTGCCACTAATATTCTGTCTCTCTCTTAATTTCTCTCTCCACCCACACAGTAATTAAATGATTATTTTAATAAGCGGCAAGCCTATTTTTGTCAACAAAGGACCTCATCACAAGAATTACTTCTTTCTACAGTGCATCATTATTTAAATTGTAACATTGCAATTCACAGATGGCTCATTGCTGCATTCCAGGCTGATTTTTTATTCCAGTATCTTGACCTGGTATTAAACCAAGTTGGTAATGCTCAAATCCCACTGAAATGAAACTTTAAGATCAACTAATCTTCTTCCCACTGACTATGTTTAGCAATCCAAAATATGCCATATGAAGGAGTCCAGTGATCATGTTGAAACAGAATGGCATTTTATGATAATTTAACGATGCGTGAACATTGTCAGTCATCTGACACCTGGAACATTAAAATACATTGCAACAGCATTATGCAATGCCCAAATGGCAGCCTGTGCAAGGAAAGAGGAACAAGCCCATCTTGTGGCAATGTGTGCTGTTTCTGCTCCAATTGGATTCAAGCTTTTTAGGCAGCACTTGTGTCTGCCACAGTACCCAATAAGTTGTCACTCGTATACTGATGTAGTGTTGATTGCTTGCAGTTTGCAAATTGTTGCATAAAGCATTATGACCCCACACACATCTCACCTTGAACCCCATGAAAGAAGAGTGGGGCCTAAGGGTAAACATTAAAATAAGGTGGACAAGGGTAACAGCAACTCCGGCTAACACGAAGCAAAGCTTGATTATTGACCTAAACCCAGGGCTGCATTCAGACATCAGGACAAACTATAAGTAAACTGAGGGGGTTTTGTACCAGACACAAATCACAGCTGGCTTGCCGTGCTTGCACACTTTTTTGTACCTCTCGCTTCCCCCCTCTTCTAAAGTGCAGGGATTGAGTGAATACATCCCAGTCTGATTACACCCAGGGGTCATTTCGTAGAAAAAGAGGTGCAGGAGCTCATTAGTATAACTCATAAGCATAACTCATTTGCGTATGCCACGTCCCCTGACATCACCGGAAGGCAGAAGGCAACACCCACCGCTCAGGCTCCACTGGACTGTTTTGGATTGCTAGCTATGGGGGGAACGTGCAGATCTGTCCTCGCAGAGGAGGGAGAGCTCGTACCTGAATAAAACTTAAGTCTTAAATCTCTGCAACAAAGTAGGAGCAGAAGCTTAGCCCAGATCTCTTTTCAGCTGGCGATGTGGTGTTCCTGACCTTTTTTTCTACAATTGGATTGCAAAGATGCCTGGCAGCCCCATGGAAACATTATTGTCACGCCTGTTTTATTGGAAGGTGCCTGTAAGGAAATGACCCCTGATTACACCCCAATTTGTTTGGCTTCCAAATGGACAACTCGAGTTTGTCTGCCCAGGACTTTAAACTGGGACTTAGTTTAGGTTTAGAGTTTGGGGTCTTTGGGGGGGAGGGGAGACAATGGCTAGTTTCCCCAAGGCACTTACATTTGGATGTCATAGCAAAACTGGAGCTTAGTCAAACCAAGAGCTATTCAGTCAAACACTGCACACAAGAGGAGGAAGGAGAAGCCAGGGGAGCCCATGAACAAGCTGTGCCCATGTCAGATGCCAACAAACCTCTACTTCATTAGTCAGTTGTAACTCTGAATACATCCCAGGTATGCCTGCTTGTCCAGGAGCACTTCATCCTAAATTTTAAGCTCCACCGTTAGCCTGGTAAACGCCCCAGATGTTTCCATAGACAGGCCATGCACATCCACACCAAACCCCAAGTATGAAACATCAGACAGTGTTTCCAGGACCCCAAAGAGAGGGTTATTGAATAATCCTTCACAAGTCTCTTTTTCTGCATCTATCAGTAATGCAGTTAACGAAAGAGTCCTTTTCTTCCAACCCTGCTTCAAAAGTGGGAAGTACTAATTGGGGTTTAGGCAGAGAAATACTGATTATACTAATATGCTGGAATCAAGACCAAAGACAATGTTTTTGGCAAATATATAAACTTGGACCCTTAAGTATTTTTCAATATTTCAGTGGAATGGACTTTGTTTGTTGCTATCAGCATTTTAGGTCTCTCGTCAATGGAAAGTGCATAGCCTTGTCCTCAACTGGGGTGACATTCAAATATTAACCAAAGCCACCAGTACATAAAAAGTAGTAAATACAACACAATCATCTAATGCAAACAAACAAAAGCAAACAGTTAGGAAAGCACTGAGGTCTGGGGCCAGCAACTGGTTTAGTGTATTCATCATTTTATTGTGATATGAAAAACTTCAGTCAAGATCTGTGTTCAAACTCTGGGTTGTATGCAACTTCATATCAGTCCCCTGTAAGCACAAGTAGCCAATCAGTAAAACCACAGTGAAGACTTTATATATAAGACTCAAAGTGTTTTGAACATAGAGGATCATTTCCTCTTGTGGACAAGAGTAGACTGTCAACACCAAGCTGCAACTTATCAGTGGACTATAATTTGCATTCCTATTGCAGCAGCATCACTTTCCAAACTGCTACATATTCTCAGCCAGGGCTCTTTTTGTAGAAAAAGCCCAGCAGGAACTCATTAACATAATAGGCCACACCCAACAGCAGAAACTAATTAGCATATTGGGCCACACCCCTGACAGCACAGCTCATTAGCACATTAGGCCGCACCCCCATGTTACCAGAAGTGTGGTTATCCAGCCACACCCACCTTTTGCTTCTTATTCTGTTTACCTTGTTTGTTGTCCAAACCCAGGACTTTTTTTGTAGCAGGAACTCCTTTGCATGTTAGGCCACAACCCCCTAATGTAGCCAATCCTAATGAGTTTCTGCTGTTGGGTGTGGCCTATTATGCTAATGAGTTCCTGCTGGGCGTGGCCAACTTGGGGGCCAGCTGGAACTCCGTTCCTGTGCATTCCTGTCCCAAA